CAATGACAAGGCAGACATTATATTGAGCTGACTATTCATTTGAAATGGCCAGCTGGTATATTTCGATTTTGTTAATACTAAAATTCAAGCCCAGAATCATAGTTACTTATTACAATTATACTCAATACATGTCACAAAATCGGAATGTACCAGCTGGTCATTTCAAATTAATAGCTCAATGATTTTTGCACATAATGACGTGACAATAGATTTTATGAATTCGTACTTGTGACTTATGCTATATTGACATTTTGAGTTTTTAAAAAGTGTCTCAAGTGTATTTATTGAAATTTTGGGTCGTCGGTCGGATGTTCGGGTCGGGGACCCGTTGCGATTTCTATAATAGTATTTATACTTATACACATTTCCATTGTATGACCTCAATAATTTTTATGAACTCTAATGTAATGTGACTCTATATACAGTTACATTAGAGATCACAAAAAATGTTGAGGTCACACCAGTTTGATATTTCTCATACAAATTGATTCTGGAACGGTTTTACGGATTGGTTTAAGCTTTGATTTGCACGAAACGGTACAAATTTCTTAGCTAAATAATATGCGTATATTGTAAATAGGTTCAAACAGAGAAACCAGACGTTCCGAAAATTGTTTGATCTGTGATCGTACACACCACTCTTGTACAGCTATGTGTACACTACAGTACAAACCATTTTCGGGACGGTTCACCTACCCCCGTCTCCTTCTCTGTTTAAACATATTTACGCGATACGTATAGAATTTAGCTTTAACAAATTTCCAAATTACATATTGTGAAATACCAAAATTAGACAAACAAACAAAATATACACACTTTTTCTTTGTTAAGAAGTGGCGTCAACAAAAGTTTAAAAGTAAAATTTTCCACAATTTTTTTCTTTGCGAAGAAATATTTTAAGAAATATAAGAAACGCAATAATATCGAAGCACAAAGAAGCTTCAACAAAACACATTTTAATGTAAAAATCTTAAAACACAACATGTTATTGATATATACTATACAGATATAGTAAGTATAATAAGTATATATTTCTGTAAAAATGCCCAATTATTTTGTATTCGAGAAATGGTTCCAATTTTTCAAAAAAAAAAAAAAAAAACGATTCAAAGTTTCACCGATTTACATTTAGTATCTTAATATTTAGTTACTTTGAGAAAATACATTTACATAGCTTACAAACCTAAGAATGTGTTCGTTGTTCGTACGCTTTAGATATGGGAACATAGAAAATATCCATATAATACAGTGAATACAGGTTAGAAGTATAGTTTTGGTTTGATCCTCTCTCTATTTGAATTAAACTTTAAAAATACATATCAAGATAAATATTAATATTTTTGCGTTCTGTTTTTGTATAACATTCACTTGGTTTTTTAGTTTTGAACTTTTTTCTTTCTGATCGGTTTCTTATTGCATATATGAATTCATTAAAATTGTGAAAAATTAAATAAAAATTAAAAATTCTCTATTAATAAATAAATTTAGTCTGCATTTTTTTAAACATTCGTTTGAAATGTTGAATTGGAAAGCAGCGAATCACAAGAAAAAAGATACCTACTGTAGACTCCCAATGTGCTGTTGATGTTTAAGTCGCACACACAGCGCGAAGGGAGAAAGAAAAATTCTGTATCACACACGCCGCAAATCGCTGGAGGAAGTAAATTGCTATTAGTTTATTATGAATGATATTGGAGCTGCTGATGCTGAACCGTGTGTTTACCTCGCTTGCTTTATTATATTTGTGATTTGCGTTTGTTGCCGTATACTATTTCAAATGAGTTGCCTTGTTGTTGGCTGCCAAATTGTGTGAAATTGTTAATAAACATGTCGGCTGTCCTAGCGGGTGGCACACGCACTTCACAATTTTGTGCGCTAAGCATGCATGAAACATTCACCATCAATCGTAATGCAAAAGTCCAAATAAAATTGCAGCACATAACTGTCAGCAGGATCGTTTTATTTTCAATTTGGTGAACGATTTTGTAAATTTTTGTGATTCGGCCGAATTAATATGTTCACCAAAAAAAACCTGATCGATTTGACCTCATTCAGATGAACTTTATTGAATTTGAGATATTTGTTAACAAAAATTGAAAGAAAATGTGATAAAACATACATGAAGTCAAAAAATAAGAGGAAGCAATGTCGAGAGACTGAAAAAACATAAGATCGGTTCGTTATCGATTTGGCCAATCTATATTCAAATCGAAGACGAAATGCAACAATCTTAGACATACACAGAATATATACAGAACATATTTCGTAACGAGTGAAAAATCGAAAAAAGAATGCGTCTCATTTCTCTTTTGGATTGCCACCCGACTCGCATCCAATACGAATATATTCAAATAAATGTGACACATAAATAAAAGTTCGCATAAAATAAACTGACGCTGTGATATAATGTAATTACATGTAATATTAAACACAATCAAAATAAAGCATTTAGTGTCTGCTTACAATGCGAATTATGTTCATAACTTTGCTTTTGTTGTTCCTCGCTCGCCGAATGCAACTTCTACACGGTATCGAAGTTCGGCCGACGATGTCGACATCGGTAACGGCACCGGCACCGGCATCGATGATCAGGATCGGGTTCTCAAGTGTGCGTTAAATGGTTTTGATTTCGTGCATCATCCAGATAATGAACGGTATGTGGCCAATCCGTGCTAACACAACGAATCAAATATCTCTTTCGTTCTGTGTTTGCTCATTTTTAAATAACACGTAACCGACATATAAAAACCATTTCACCGTAATTTTGCACGTCCAAAGTCGACATAGATGCATGCGATTATCTGAATTGATTCAAACTTGATAATTAATCATACCCACACAGTCGCACAATTTTTGCATACAACATGAAAATGGAGTCCACGATGCGCAGGTTCAAAAATGCACCAATCGCCAATCACAATGTGATCATAATAAAAATGAAATGCAATGTATTAAATTAAATATTAAATGCAAATAAATCTCGAATTTATTGCCAACCCAGCATTTTGCAGAATGCGAAATTAAACGATATCATGGAAAGGAACACACACAAACGAGTCGTAGCACATCATGAAAATATTTCAATTGTCGACGATTTTGATCATAGTTATCACGCAAATTATAAAATAAGTGCCACTTTTCGAATTAAATGTATCCATAAACATGGTAGAGGTTCAATTGATTTCTTTAATTGAAATAAAAATTAATGCCCAAAAAATACTATAATGAATTATTTGAATTGCCATTAAGCAAGTTTGGTTCACGAACAGAGTGCGAATAAGAGTCCATAATAAATTCACAATTTATCCGACAGACTGTTTACGCTTATTCCATCTTCTCTTCTCATTCGAGAAGTGGCTTCGGTTGTCAATAATATTCCAATTAGCTTTATTGTCATGTTAACATATTTCTGATAATCTTCGATCGTAAATAATCTGCAGCTCAAAGGAAATACCTTTTACATACTGTGAACTATACCACGATCAGAACCAAAGCAAAAATTAGACTGGGTCAATGTAAATCTTGTTCTTGTGCTGACTATGCGATCGTGTTCTTGTTTGAAGTCATATATTTTATTCAATCTCATTGAGATTTATTTTATTTGAGTTTGCTAATTGCTTGCACAAAACTGTTGCATTCCCACTTCATTCAATCATTTCGCACATATAATATCTGAGGGAAAAAAGTGACTAGAACAGTGTATATTATCGCGATACAACAAGCATTCGAGTCAATTTGATCGTTCAACCAATCGCCGTTGAGTCTCCTCCCACTTTATTCGAATCACTGCAACAGCAACAGCACATCAACCAGATACAAAGTGAAACGATCGTGATATGATACTTAAACGAAATACAAAATCACAGCCAACGCTCAGTTCGAAATTGGGATTACGATGTAACGTTCGATCATTTTGTGAGACTCGGGGAACCGACAGGACTTTTGCTAAGATTTTTTTTTTATCATTTAAAAAAATAGAATCATGGTTTTTTGGATCTGGTTCGATGTTAACAACAATTTGTGAACAATTGTTCAGTGTATATTCATTTAAAATTTGAAAAAATGGTTTTTCATGACTCAAAATAAGTGGCAAATGTGAAAGGGATTTCACACATTTTTAATTAACGAACAAATATTTGAAATGCAAAAAAAAACTAAACCAATAGTGTTGACCGACAATGAATCTATTTAAGAAAATCCGTTCATTAGTTTATTATGTAAATAAATCGTTTAGATTGATAAATAAAACCGTTTCATTTGGAATGTAAACGATTTCTAAAGTGTGTTGGTCTTTATTTCTATTGAGGAATGCGATCATTATTGGATTTTTGAACGCTAAAATCGATAATTAATGCCAATCGGCTCACCGGGAAATCAATTTTCTTGATTGAAAATGTACTAAATAGAAGTAACTAATCTGAATTTGTTTATCCATTTGAAATCAAACGGTGTGATGATAAATGATTCAAGTCACATGACGCCTTACAACCAATGAAAATAAAAATTAATCTCCACGAACTTGGGAATAAAGATATGGTAATCAGCATCACTATTTCTAATATCAAAAATAATGTAGTGCGATGATGATGTTTTGAAAGATTAAATTGTATAAAACTATAGCAAAGAGTCATTGGAAGACGAATTAATAAAGACTATTGATTTAAAAGTACACCAAATACAATGAATTGTGAATAAATTATCAAAATAATGAGCCGAAAATGGAAAAGAACACAAGTGATATGCCATCAAAAAAGACACATTCACTCGAAATGGTCGAAGCCGCCAAAAGTTGCACGGCTATAAACTTTAGTGTCGACAGTATTTTAAATAGTTGTTTGAAAAAAACTGATGCTGAAACTGATCAAAAATCATATGAAAAAGCAGTTTCACCACAAAAATCCTTTTTTGCTGAGGATTACGGTCGACTCTATAGGCCAATGCCAATGCGATACATATCCAATTCATCGCTATATCAAGGTAATAAATTTCGACGAACTACTTAAACAAAAAAAAAGGTTCAGTGTTTAGTAAAAGATATATAGATCCTTTGCACCAGAATCATCATTATTTCAATGGAACGAATATTGTTTTTTATAAATTACGTATTTCGGTTTGTTTTACACACAAACCAATTGGTTTTCATGTAAACAAACGCTTGACGTGAGATGTGATACGACCAGCGAAATGAGTGAATGAAGAAGAAAACGCTTCTGTTTAAATTGCATAAATGATGTTTAACAAATGTTCGTACAAGTGGTGAATGAGAAATACACATCAATATGTCTCGATTTAAATATACAAACTCCTAATAATAATATATTTCCTGTTCATCTCTGTGGAATTTTATATCATTCTACCAGCAATTAACCCGTTCTACATAGAAAAATTGAATTCGATAATTGATTGATGATTTTATTATTTGTTTTTGTGTTTCAATTTCGTGTTTTTCGAGCCATTTTAAATGATGGAGAAATATATCTTAAGCATCAATGAGATGAATACCGATTTAACGCTAACTACCGACTCGGAGTATGCATGAGGATGGTTTATTCGGTCGGAAAAAGATGAACAATGTTTACATAAAATGAGTTTAAACACCGTCTGGACACAAATTGTGTTATATGGGAAAAAACAGTTGCTTTCTGATAATAGCATTTGGTTAACCGTTTGAAAAAAAATCTATAGGGAACAGTTGTGGTTAATAAGTGGCTTATTTAGTTTCATTTTTTATTTGTAGTTTATCTCCATTTTTAATAGTTTTTTGTCTTTTGTGATCACCAAATATTTTTCGTGTATTATTTTCTTAGGTTTTCCAATAAACAGTTCTGCCTTACCATTGCATCGCCACATAAAATACCCTCTTCCGAATTATCACAGCGCATCGATTGCCGCTCTGCCATTTGGTCCGAGTTTCGGTGTGGATAGACTTCTATTGCCAAGTTCCGTTTCATTTCCTCATTTTCAAAATACTCAGCATCGTCTAGATTGCCTTGTTGATCCAACGAATCCAAAAATTACTAGTATACCGCCACCAACGGGAACAACGATTGCCAATAATGTTGCCATTGGTCAAGCTAAACGAAAACGATCCTGGTCACGTGCAGTTTTTAGTCAACTTCAGCGCAAAGGCTTGGAAATACAGTTTCAAATACAGAAATACATTACCAAACCCGATCGTCGAAAATTGGCAGCCCGACTAGGATTGACTGATGCACAAGTATGTATTCTCAACAATATGCACTTTTTATTTTGAACTTATTTTCACTTAAAAAAATGTTTCAAGGTAAAAGTATGGTTTCAAAATCGTCGCATGGTAAGTTAGCATCTTTCAGCATACAGCGTATCATTTCAACTAGCGTTCTATTTTTTCTCTCAGAAATGGCGGCATTCGAGACAAGAAACAAAAAGTGACAAAAATCGAGCGCCAAAAACTGAAAACAACGAAGAAAATGATGATCAAGACATGGCTTGTGGCAGTAGTGCAGAGAGCGACAGTTGTACCAGTGACGATGACAATGAAATCGACATTGAAGCAGAATGATCAAATGAAAATACAATATTTTAATGTTATAGGTAGTTTAAATTTATTTATACTTTGGGTGCGTCCATTTAAATAACGTATTTTTGCTTTAATAACTAAAGATAAATAAAAACATTTTTACAATGAGCATATCTGTTGAAATCATAGTTTTGAAACAGGTTCAGCGGAAAAAATTTGATTGAATTTACTATGGACGTATGGCCGAAAGAAATGACTAGAAAATGATTTTTGAAGATTTTATCACAAATTGTAAAGATAGAATTCGAAGTGTGTTAATCAATCAATTAAAATTATGTAGTAAAAGTCGGTAGATTGTTTTTTAATTGGTCATTTTTTCTATGTGTAGTAAGATTGGTTTTGGGAATCGCTTGGAATGCTGAATACGGAAATGTGGAATTTGAAATAATAATATAATTTTTTTTGTATATTTCTGGTTACAATTTAAATGAAAAATCAATTTATAACAATTTTGATATGGCTTTGGTTTATAATATCCTAGCTAAATCATTTTCCTTCTAACTTCTAATTAGCTAAAAATTGATTCACTCAAAAAAACTGATAAAATATAATCAACTTATTAAAATCTAAAAGAAAAACTCAAAAAAGAGTTTGAAAAAATCACACATTAAATTTGCTCGATTAAAGAATTTTAATTTTTTTTAATTCTATTGCATAAAATACTACATGTGTAAAAACATTTCGTAGGTATGTTTTAGATTCCAAATGATTTATACGCGGAATCATACAATTTATTTGCATCGGCGCGTATGGTTTTATTGTTCAAATGGCCTAAATTAAATAAATAAAAAGAAAATGAACAACAATAATACACGAAAACCATCGTCAACTATTGGTTGATGTCTTTTCACATAAAATTGATGCGGCATCATTTAGTGTAGTATATATTTCGTGAGGCCAAGACGGGCCAGATTATCGCACGACGACACTTTAAATCCTTTAGCCTCTTCCAATTGTCTCTCATTGCCGAAATTACGAGCTTTTGCTATCATTAGTTCACCTAAAAATTGGGTAAATTAATGGAATGTGGAGACCTTGAAATCGGCTCTACTTACGATAACTACGTTCTCGCATGCAATTTTGCTTCATCACCATAATATATTCTTCTTCGATGCTATTTTCTAGTCGATGCAATGAACCTTGGTATTCCTTCTTAAATGTATCTCGAACATAGTACGGTATATTCAGGTGGTGAGTGCGCTGTATTACATTATATTTCCTGGAATTAAAAAAAGTCAAAATAAAAAAAAACAATGAAGACATTTTTTTTTGAATTTCTTTCAATTAATGTCACTCACCCAGTTTGCGACAAACTATAGACTGGGTCCGATGTAAAAAATGACGCCAACATAGAAATCAACACAAGAATCAAAATTAAACTAAACGCCAACGATGGCTGCTGCTGATGATTTTGGTAATGCTAGAATTATACAATAAAAATGAACAATTTTCTATATTTTAAAGAATATTTTTTTGTGAATTTTTGTACCGTTGATTCGCGACGCGAAGCATATTGTCGTTGGGTAGTTTGCCGCGCTTGCGGAAACCCACCACCAAAAAACATATTAAATAGCTCTTCTGCCGTGAAATCGGAATCGAATCCAGAGCCAGCACCTCGGTATGCATGCTCGTATTCATGATTTGTGTGATAGTGTCGTTTGGGTCCTTTGTCTGTTTTACTTCCAAACATGTCATAATGTTTTCGTTTTTCTGCATCAGTCAAAACGCCGGCCGCATTGCCCAATGCCTTGAATGCTTCAACCGCACCAGGTGCTCGATTTTTATCTGGATGCAATTGTAATGCCAATTTTTTATATGCACGCTTTATCTCCGAGTCGGTGGCTTCTTTAGTGATGCGCAGTATTTCATAATAATCTTTACAGCGAAGAATTCGTTCGCACATTTCTAACTGTTCTTTGGTATAGTCACCGGACGATGTATCACTTTGTTTTGATTGAGATGCTTCGGCCTTTGCGTTTGTATTACGTTTTCTTACACCATCGCTGGAGTCCTTTGTTTCGGTTTCTCGCGATTTAATATCGGCTAGAAGATCTATTTGATACGATAAATGTATTTAATTATTCAAAAAATGTTTCAATGTGAACCCTTTCCTAAACGAACTATTACCTTTGGCGTTTTGTGATGGATATAAACTGTCAGCCTTGCGTAGAAATTTTTCGGCACGTTTTAAATCACCAGATCTAGCAGCATCTAATGCAATATTTATGCATCGTTGCGCCTCATCCTTATTTCCATCCATTTTTATCAAAACTAATCAATAAAAAAAACTAATTCACAATAATCGTGTCAATCAACGCCCAGTAATTAATGTATTTGTAATGAAAACCCAATGGTTTTTTTATGTAATTTCACTTTGGAAAAATGTGTATCGATTTTACTTGTACGCATAAGATAAAAAAAACACTATTAACTTCAATCGTCAAATATAAATGTTCGGTGTGATGGAAACGAGTGATGGAATTTAAGTAAAAAAATTGCGTTTTTAGTTAAGAATAAAAATTTATTTATTTTGAATGTTCTTTAATTTATACAACATTTCGTCATGCACTTGAAATGTCGTGTATTTTTAGTGCATTCAATTTATATCCATCCGTCAAATTGGACGTACATGCACTGTTACATGTCATATTCTCTCATTTTCATCTGCTCTCTCTCTGAGTGAATAAAATCTAGTACTACACCACATACATACGCATACATTGGTTCGCAGCTGTCATCTGTCAGCGTAAACAATTTATACCGCGATTGAAATTTATTCTAAATGCACAAAATGAGTGTTAAATCCGATTTAAATGTTATTTTAGCATGAGAATTGTTGGTTTTTTGTTAAGAAAGTGTGTTTTGTTTTGAAAATTTTGTGAATAAAACGAACAAAATGGGTTTGGATTTTGATCCAATCGATTATTGCCGTACATTGGCACGAGCACCATCACCATACAAGTGTCCAGTGGAAAAATGCAATAAATCATACAAATCAATTTATGGTTTACAATATCATTTGGTTAACTATGATCATGATACGAGACAACAAATAACGCCAGTTCGAACACCGGCACGAAAACAAAAAACATCACCGGTCGCTGCAACAGCCGGCGGCGGTGGTTTAGCCAATTTTGGTTCGCCAAAAGAAGGTTTAACATATTTAGAAGCACAACATGTGGTTCAATTTGAAATTGATGGCAAATCAATTAAAGTTTCTACGCTTGATCCGATACCAATGATTGAAGCGGAAGACTATGAAAAATTGGTGGAAAAAGGTGAAGCACCAACATTTGTCGAACCAGAACCAGAACCACATCTCAAACTTCCCGAAGCCAACTATAAAAAAGTTGAAAACTACTCTATTTGCGACGCACCACAAAGACCAAACGCATACATCAGGTATGATTACATTCTTTTCAAAATTCAAAGTTTATAATATTTATACAAAAATTAAATGTTTTTCTTCTTTTTTTTGTGAAGATTCATTGAAAAAAGTCCAGAAGAATTGGACGGCGAAATTGAGTACGACGTAGATGAAGAAGATGCAATTTGGCTTGAACGAATGAATAATGAACGGGCCGAGACTGGACTAACTGCCGTTCCAATGTACACACTCGAAGTTTTGATGGATCGCTTGGAGAAAGAATCGTATTTTCAAACAACAAACGATCAAGGTGGTGCTGTTGTTGATGCCGATGCTGTTTGTTGCATTTGTTTGGACGGTACATTGGAAATTCTTTTCATCTATTGAAAAAATATTTACAAAAACTGTAACTTTTTTGTAATATTCATTTTTATCTATCAATTTCAGGCGACGCCACCAATACCAATTTCATTTTATTTTGTGACAGATGTAATTTGGCAGTACATCAAGATTGTTATGGTGTACCGTACATTCCAGAAGGTCAATGGTTGTGTCGTCGTTGTTTACAAAGTCCCAGTCGTCCGGTTGATTGTGTACTGTGTCCGAATACGGGCGGTGCATTCAAGCAAACCGATCGAAATCAATGGGCGCACGTTGTTTGTGCACTTTGGATACCAGAAGTTCGATTTGCAAATACAGTTTTTCTGGAGCCAATCGACTCGATTGAAACCATTCCGCCGGCACGTTGGCGCCTTACCTGTTATATTTGCAAACAAAAAATGGGAGCCTGCATTCAATGTCAACGTAACAGTTGCTATGCAGCTTTCCATGTGACCTGCGCCCAACAAGCTGGTTAGTATATTGTCAAATGACGGCCTAAGAAGAAAACAATAACATAAAGAATATTCTGCAAAAAGACGAATACAAATTTATGTGAGCAAAAACCAAATATACAAACAGACAGCGCAAAGGTAAAACAGCCTACTTACATAAGAAACACATGTAAGTAGGCTGTTTTACTTTTGCGCTGTCTGTTTGTATATTTGGTTTTTGCTCACATAAATTTGT